TGAACAAATACAGATTCTTTCTCCATATGGGGCACGGACCTCTTTAACACAGGGAAACCTAAATCCAAATGTGGGAGGCTAACCTTATTTTTCTAGGATGCTAGGAGAGCTGTGGACTGGCTTATATAACTGGTGAATGAATGAAGGGGAGGGGACATGATGATGGCCTTTAAGCCAAATGCCATTTAGGTGCCACTTTAGCAGCATTAAAATAAAATTAAACTTACAATGCATGCCTGACACATAACAGAGATTCGAGAAATGTGCATTGAATAAGATTTCCACTTCCCAGTTTTATTAAGAACATTTTCTTTTTTTTAAATTTTTTATGTTTTATTTATTTTTGAGAGAGAGAGAGACAGTGTGAGCAGGGGAGGGTCAGAGAAAGAGGGAGACACAGAATCTGAAGACAGGCTCCAGGCTCCAAGCTGTCAGCACAGAGCCCAATGCAGGGCTCAAACCCATGAACTGTGAGTACATAACCTGAGCTGAAGTCGGCGCTCAACCAACTGAGCCACCCAAGTGCCCCTATTAAGAACATTTTCAAACATACAGAAGATTGCATAACCTGTACAGTGAACATCTAGGTGTTCATTTGCTTTATCACATATCCATCCAACCATCTAATCCTCTATCCATCTATCAATCCATCTTATCTTTTTTATATTTCAAAGTGAATTGTAAACACAGTATACTTTTCTCCTAAACAGTTCAGCAAAATAGTATTTTTTTTTCATTGCAAAAGCAATTGAAGCTAATTGTAAAACTTTTTGACAATATAGGAGGTATGAAGCAAGAAGAAAATCTCTCTCTTCTATCTCCAGCCTTGTTTTCCAAGCACGACTGCTTATAAGTATAGTTCCAAACATTCATACAGATAATATACTTTTGATAGTTTACCAAACTCCTCCTTTGCAACTTGCTTAAAAAAATCAATCACACCTTAAAGTCATTCTAAACTGGAAAACAACAATGAAATTTTAACTGGTTATGGAGAAAAATAGAACAATACAACAGATGGTGATAGCAGGTACTAATTTACAAAGGGTGGTCTGGGAAGGCTTCTTTGAGGAAGTCATATTAAGCAAATTTTTTTACGTTTATTTATGTTTTGAGAGAGAGACAGAGCATAAGCAGAGGAGGGGCAGAGAGAGAGAGAGAGAGGGAGACACAGAATCCAAAACAGGCTCTAGCTTTGAGCTGTCAGGACAGAGCCTGACATAGGGCTTAAACTCATGAACTGTAAGATCGTGACCTGAGCCGAAGTCAGACACTCAACTGACTGAGCCACCCGGGTGCCCAAGAAAGTCACATTTGAGCTGAGACCTGAGTGGTGAGGAAGAGCCCGTTATGCAAGTCCCAGGGAGAAGGCATAGCAAATGCAAAGCCCCTGAGTGGAAACAAGCTTCAAGCTTGGTGTGTTTGAAGAATAGAAACAGCCAGCATAACTGAAGTATATACCAAATGGCTGGAAGTGGAGTTAGTACGGTAGGTAGGTGCCAGATCTTATAGGGTCAAGGAGTTTGGGTTTTGTCCTTAGTGAAGCACATCAGATTACATTTTAATCCCTGGGAAGTCATAAAATGAAACAGCTCCATCTGACCTGCATAGAGTGAAATGTGAGCAAACACATTTCCTGTATTCGGTTAGCTGCAGCATGGAAAGCCAGAGCCTCACCCAGGCTGTGTGTGGAGCATCCTGGAAATAGAATGAATGTCAGGATCAGACAGATGTGTGTTCAAATTCCAGATCCACTTGTTCATATCCGAAGGTGAAAGTAGGGTCCCAAAGATATTTGTACAGTCATGCTTATAGCACTATTATTTACAACAGTCAAAAAAATGGAAGCAAACCAAGTGTTTCTCAAGATGAGTGGATGGACAAAGTGTGGTATATACACACAATGGAGTATTATCCAGCCTCAAAAATGAAGGAAATTCTGACGCAGGCTACAGTATGGGTGAGCCTTGAGGATAATATGGCAAGTGCAATAAGCTAGTCACAAAAAAAAATACTGTATGGTTCCCCTTACATGAAGAATCTAGAATAGTGAAATTCACAGAAACAGAAAGTAGAGTGGTGGTTGTAAGGGCTAGGGAGAGGGAGGCATGGGGAATTGTTTAATGGGTATGGAGTTTCACTTTTGCAAGATGAAAAGAATTCTGGAGATGAGTTGCACAATAATGTGAATGTACTTAATACTACTGAACAGTATGTATGCTTTAAAATGGTAACTTTTATGTAATGTGTATTTTACGATTAAAACTTTAACAAAAATTCCAGCTCCATCACTCAGGAGCATTGTGACTTGGCCAGTTAGTCCCTCTGAGCCTCGGTTTTTGCATCGGTAAAAGGGAGACAGTAATTCCTCCTAGCTGTTGTGGAGACAGGCTCAAATGCTGTCTTGTTCCATTCTCCCTTTGCAGAATTTAGAAGGCTTCCCAGCCCTCTCCAGGCAGCTGAAAGACCCCATCAGTGAATTTCAGTTGAGTCGCCCTTGTACCTAATACTTGTGGATGCTCAGTGAATACTTGTTGACAGACTTGTTGACTGAATCCACTTGTAGACATGATCCATAAGGAGACATATGTGTCAGAAGCTGTGTTGGCCATAGTTGGCATCCCATAAGTATTTATGGAACAGGTGAATGAACAAAGTGGATGATATGTTTGGCCATGGTTATAAAACAATCTACCTGTTCCAAAACATAAATAAGACTTTTCTCTCTCATCTTGTAGCATAATCATTGCTTCAGAAAATAAACTGACTAAGTGGTGCCTGGGTGGGTGGCTCAGTTGGTTAAGTGTCTGACTTCCGCTCAGGTCATGACCTCACGGCTCCTGAGTTTGAGCCCCACATAGGGCTCTGTGCTGACAGCTCAGAGCCTGGAGCCTGCTTTGGATTCTGAGTCTCCCTCTCTCTCGTGCCCCCCACCCCCTACTAGTGTTCTGTCTCTCTCTGTCTCTCAAAAATGAATAAAAACGTTAAATTTTAAGAAAATAAACTGACTGAAAGCCCTCCTGACCAAGTCTCATCTTAACATCTGTATCAGTTTTCCATTGCTAGAAAATGACAAGTTTCCACAAAACACGAGTGGTTTAAACAGTACACATCAATTACCGTACAGTTCTATGGGTCAGACTTCTGACATGGGTCTCACTGGGCTAAAATCAAGGTGTCAGTGGGGCTGCAGTGATTATCGGAGGTTCTAGGAATGGATCTGCTTTCTTAGATATTCGGGCTGTTTGCAAAATCCAATTCCTTGTGCCTGTAGAACTGAGGTCCTGTTTCCTTTCTGGCTGTCATGGAGGGCCATTTCCAGCTTCGAGAGGCCACCCACATTCCTTAACTTGTGCCCACATCCTCTGTCTTCAAAGTCCTCCACTCTTCTCCCCACTCTGACCCGGCAGAGAAAGATTCTCCACCCAAGTACTTAGACTGGGCTTTCCTGGATCCTCCAGGATATTCTCTCCATCTCAGGGCCCTTAACCTGAATCCCACTTGCAGAGTCCCCTTTAAAGATGGACAGATCCTGGGGATTAGGGCATGAATATCTTTGGAGGGTTATTATTTTGCCTACCAATACATCTGTTATCATTTTATTTTATTTTATTTTATTTTTTTATTTATTTCTAGGAGAGAGAGAGAGAGACAGCGTGAGCAGGGGAGGGTCAGAGAGAGAGGGAGTCACAGACCGAAACAGGCTTCAGGCTCTGAGCTGGCAGTCAGCACAGAGCCCGACGCGGGGCTCGAACCCACAAACCATGAGATCATGACCTAAGTGAAAGTCGGACGCTTAACCGACTAAGCCACCCAGGCGCCCCCATCTGTTATCATTTTAGAATGAATTGGTTTCTCAGTGCAGATAGTTGTCTCCCAGCAAAGAGCTCTGGGAAATGAGGCCAATAAAAGGGAGATTTAGATTGAGGGAAGAGAGGTGAGGCACTGACAGTAAATATGTTGGTAGGCCTGCTACAGAGAGAGGTTCCTGACTTTGCGGTATCTAGGTCTCTAGAACAAGAGAGAGATACTCACAAATGCCAAGAAAGTTAAACTTTGTGTGTCTTACAGCCTCCCTTCAAATCATTTCTGCCGAGGATAAAGCAACCTTCCCTGGCCATGAAGAGTCATAATAGCTTTTCCCAAAATTTTCATCAGTTGATTGATGGGCTATTATTGGCTCATTGCTGCCAATAATTGAAGGATGCTGTCTTTGTTGGCTCAGTGAAGCTTCCAGATGTTATCAGAGCAGGCATTCCTTGAGGCTCACCCCACACGTGGCATTGGCTCCTATAGTGTGTCCAGCCACTAATCAGGGACCTGGTGGTGTCCAGGGCAGACCTTTAGGTCATTTCCAGAGCTTTCTCTACAGAGAGTGTATGTTACACGGCTCAGACGCCATCTGTTTTGAATCTTTTTTTTTCCCTCTTTGCCATTTTCTGTCCTACCTTCTCTCTCTTTCCTGCCCTCTCTTCTCTCCTCTCTAGTTTTCTGATGTTTTAGGATCAAAATAATGAAAAAGAATGGGAACAATTTCAACTCAGGAAATAACCCAAAGGTATAAGAAAGGCTGTACAAAGTTCACTGCTCGACTCTTCCCCGTTCTGATAAAACACGTTTACAGCAAAGAAATCTTGTCTGGGGAAATGAGGCAATAAGAGGTTGAAGTAGCACTGCGGGGTGAGGTGGGGCAGTCTGCTGCTCCTAGATGTCACGGAAACGAAGGAGAGAGGGAGACAATGGCCACTTCTGAGGCCACGGGGATTACAGGTTTCAGGTCAACCAAAGTGGTAATTCTCCCGTATGCCACCCTTATAAGAGGGATGGCAGGGAGACTCTGGGCCATGGTTTGCCCTTGGAAAAGGGGGGTGTTGGGCTTGGACTTTCTAGATGCCGCCACAGTGGGAAGCCAGAGTCTCATTGTGTGCTAATAGAGGTCACAGCTCTTGGGAACAAGGCTTGCAACACAGAGGAAACTCCCCCTCCCTGCCCGTGACCACACCCTTGCCTCTCTCACACTTGGGCTTCCCAGTCAGACAGCTCTGGGGATGACAGACATTGGCGTGGGATCATCAAGAAGACTGCTTGGGAAACCCAACAGGAAAAAGGGGTAGTTGAGCCAAGAAAAGTCACCAGACCTTTCTTTTGGCTTGAGGCATTGTGTATACATTTGAATAATAAGAACCAGATTAATATTACAATTCTAATGTGACTGTTGAGCCACAGTTATGTGCTAATCACAGTTTTCCAGGGATTGTCTTCAGTCATTACGCTAACTCTGCAAGGTAGGCGTTATCTACATTCTATAGATGTTGAAATTGAGAACAAGAGAGGTTAGGAGAGTTGCCAAAGGCCACAGAGTGAGTGGCAAGGCTGAACTTCGACTTCAGGTTTAATTGATTTTAAAGCTTGTTTTCTCTTTCCCTCCCTTCTTCTCTTCCTCCCTCCCTTCCTTCCTTCCACTTCAATTTTCTTTCTGTCCTGTTTGCTTTGTCTTTTTAAAAAGAAATAAAATGTCACATACACAGTGGGAATCCCTTTGTGTCCCTCCCCTGTCCCATTCTCCTCCCTTCCTCTCCGGAGGCAACCAATCTCTTAATTGAGGTTATTGAGTGGGAGTATCCCTCCCACCCTTCATTATGTGTTCATGGCCATAAGCGATCTATAGCCTGGTGTGTTTTAAATGTTTGCATATATGAAAAAGGGCTAAAAGTAGTCATTTACAGAGGAAAAGAATACAAATGCCTGTTAACAACAACAACAACAACAAATTCACTGTCTCATTCATTAAAAGAGCAGTACAGATTAAGATCACCCTGAGATACCATTTTTTAACCTCATCAGATTGGCCAGTACTGAGGATTTGGTAACTTAGTGTGTAGGAGAGGCCACGGGGAAGAGGTCTTCCAACTTTGATTGTGAGTGGGTGAAGTGATGTCTTCTCTCTAGAGGGCAATTTGACAATCTCCATCAAAAATGCAAATGCACGGGGTGCCTGGGTGACTCAGTTGGTTAAGCATGGACTCTTGATTTTTGGCTCGATCTCATGGATCATGGGTTAAACCCTGTATTGGGCTCTGTGCTGGCAGTGTGAAGGCTGCTTGGGATTCTCTCTCTCCCTCTCTCTTTGTTCCTCCCCAACTTGTTCTCTCTCTCTCTCTCTCTCTCTCTCAAAATAAATAAATTTTTTAAAATGCAAACACACAAAATTACAAAAGAAATTTCATTTCTGGACATCTGTCTATAGGTATATTTGTACATATTCAAAAGCACATGTGTTCAAGCTTACTCTTTAAAGTGTTGCTTGTAATAAAAAGACCAGGAATAATCCACACATCCATCAATAAGGGACTCACTGAATCAACTGTGGTACATCCCAATCAGAAAAAAGAATGAAGAGGGGCTCCTGGGTGGCTCAGTTGGTTGGGCGTCCAACTTCAGCTCTGGTCATGATCTCACGGTTCATGGGTTCAACCCCCGCGTCGGGCTCTGTGCTGACAGCGAGCTTAGAGCCTGGAGCCTGCTTCAGATTCTGTATCTCCCTTTCTCTCTGACCCTCCCCTGCTCATGCTGTCTCTCTCTGTCTCTCAGAAATAAATAAAAAAACTTTTTAAAAAAAAGAAAAAGAATGAAGATATTCTCTGTGCCAATGTGGAAATTTCTCCCATACGTATTGAATAACAAAAAAGCAAAAGTGCAGAAGAATATGTATACGATGGTACCTTTGTGCAGCAAAGGGGAAAATTAAGCTTATCTGTCCAGGAAGTTTACATATGAAAACTAGTAACAGTTGGGGCGTCTGGGTGGCTCAGTCGGTTAAGTGTCCGACTTCGGCTCAGGTCATGATCTCACGGTTCGTGGGTTCGAGCCCTGCATCAGGCTCTGTGCTGACAGCCAGCTCAGAGCCTGGAGCCTGCTTCAGATTCTGTATCTTGCTCTCTCTCTGACCCTCAACTGCTCTGTCTCTCTCTCTCTCTCTTTCTCAGAAATAAATTTAAAAAAAAACATTAAAAAAAAAACTAGTAACAGTTTTGTATGTGGGAAGAAAGGAGTGGGATGAAGGAAGAAATGAAGACTTTTCAATGTATTTTAAAATAATTTTTTTGAACAATATGGATGGACTGTGTTACCTATCCCCAAAATTTAATAATAATAAAAAAAAGCTAGAGTGCAAGTACATGTCATTCTGCAACTAACCTTTTCCAGTCTGGTTTATGTTTTTTGAAGCCTATCCATGTGGCCATGACCTTGATCTTTCCATTAATTATACTGCCTTGAACTGTGGAGTCCTACAACTGGAAATGGTTCTGGAGTTCACCCAGCTCCTTACTTTCATATTACTGGAAAGACACACGAAAGTGCAGAAATGACAAGCAGATCACCCAGGCCAGCCCCACAGGTCAATGCTAGAATTGGGGTTGGCTCAGATCTTGCAACCCTGGCTGGGAGTCTGGGGCCCCATTTCTTCCTCCACCCCCAATGCCAAAACCACCCCTCAATTCTTACTAAGAGTTGGTAATATTATGTGTTATCCTTTCCTAAGGATTTTTGCCTTTTAAAAACAAAGCAAAGATAAACAACCACATCAAACACAAAAACGAGTGATCACTGTTTTATGCAATAGAGATAATTTGGGGTCAGGGAAATGGAAGGGGGGGCACAAATAGCAATGGTGGTTATTAGCCAGGGTTGGAATAAACTTTGGAGTACCTCCTTCCCATTTCTTCCTCCTAAATAGATAAGCAAATAAATAAGAGAAAAGAAAAAGAGAAAGGCAAACAAAACAAAACAAGTAGGTCGTAACTTCTTCACTGGTCTGGTTGATTCTGCCTTGAGCTCAGGAAGGAACTAATTTGTGGCTTGATCTGTCAATAGCATTGTTGCAAATATCGTTAATGTAACAAAGTGTTATTAGTCTTTTTGTTGCCATAGAAACAGTGAAGGCACTCATAAATCTCCTATAGTGAATGAGACCTCCCCAGGTCAAGTCCCCTGGTCCTGCCATCATGCAGGACCCCATTAACCATCCTGACAAGAGAGGACCTTTCAGGATTTACCTTGATAAATAACCCCATTCCTTAGTAAAGCACTATGTCAGAAGTGGTAAGGATATAAAAACTCATGTGGTTTCACTTCAAATCTAATAGCATAGATGGGTTTTCCCCAGAATTTTATACTAAAATATTTTAGCAGTGGAGGAGCGGCAACAATGTGACGAGGTCCTTTCTAAGCCTGGAATTTTGGTCACATTCAGGATTTTCAGTTACAATTTCATGCAAATACTAGGTTCCATTTTGTAAGATAAGTGTGTTTGCTTTAATGTACGCATTTATATTCCATGAACCACTTTTTCCCTCCCCATTCTTCTAGTAAAATTGATCCTGCAAGAAGATACACTATGTTGACGGGTGGCTTTGGATATTTTCTGTCTGGATTTCAGCAGGCATCTTTGTACACAGAGATCAAGTCTGAGAAGCATGGATTGGTCAGGACTTGGCAAACTCATTTTGTAAAGGGCCAGACAGTAAATATTTAGGCTTTGTGGGCACACTGTTTTTGTTAACCACTATTCAACCATGGTATTGTAGTCTTGTAGTAAAAGCAGCCATAAACAATATGTAAATGAATTGGCATGGCTGTGTCCCAATAAATCTTTATAGAAACAGCCAGAGTTGGCCCATGGCCTAAATCCGGCATACAGGATAGGTTTATCAATCCCTAGATGAGACAGTACATTCCCAAGGGCTTATTAAAGGAAATATTTTCAGCTGGAACAAACAAGAAACAAGAATGGGAATAGAAATTCCGTTGATCATTGAAGGCTACCTGTTATTTCAAAGAGCAGAGAAGAAATTATAGCATTATTGGTAGGAGACCAGTGTAATCACAGGCAAAATTTTTAGGTTTATATGTATGTGGGGGACAGGGAGGACAGTAATCAGATCAATTTGGCGGGGGGGGGGGGGGGGAAGGAATTCATGTCCAAGAGAAGCATGCTAAACCATTAGACCTGGAAGGGACCTTTCTGATCATTTTCTTCTCATTTTACAGATGGGGAAATTGAGGTCAGGAGAGATCTCAGATCTGGGACAAGGCTGGAGAGTGGAGTGCCTTGAACACTAAGCTAAGGGATCTCAGCTCTGCAGTGCAGTGCAGGCCAGTGATGTTTCACCATTTCCTCATTTGAATGCTTATTCATTAACCCACTTCCTACATGCCACGTGACCAGATGTCCCAAGAGGAGTTCCTTTGGGATGAAGTTAATTCTCATCCATTGTGAAATAGCACTGTTGAGATGGTGACAAGACACATCTGGAGCAATCACCTAGACGAATGCCAAGTTTTAGCTTCTCATCCTGCTGTTAACTTGTCCTGCTAGCCTGGACTGAAGCCTGAGCTCTGTTGTGGTTAAACAAGAAGCATTCATCCTCAGAACCAGTGTTCTGGCCCCTTCTCCTCCCACCACGAACTCGAAGTAATAAATGACCAGAGGATATTGGAGTAGGAGGAGCCACAACCTGTGTGACCCAGATATTCATTCATTGCTTTTCCCCTGCTAATTATTGAGCACTTCCCATGCCTTGGGTTTTGGGGATAAACAATAAAGAGGTAAGCAGGCAGACTTCTGCCTTCATGGGGCTCACATTCTAGTGGTGTGAGGAGGGAAACATAAACAATACACAAATAAACAAAAAAACAAACAAGAATTTCAGATGGAGAGAAGTGCTTCTAGCAAACTTGAACAGGGTATCACGAAAATGGCTGGAGGGGCTCCTTTTTTGAAGACCTCTCTGAGGAGAGACCTGAAGGTTGAGAAGAGAGCAAGCACAGAGCACTTCAGGCAGCGGGCAGAGTAGGAGGAAAGACCCAGAGACCCTGGTCGAGGAACAGAAAGGCCTGTGTGTCCACAGGGTGGGAGCGTGGTGGGGGGTGGAGGAGGGAGGGGTAGGAGACAAGGAAATAGAGATAGACCACGGAAAGAAATGGGTGAATTTTAATCTGGTTGATTATGTGACTCAACTTGGTCTGTCTTCTTTTTTCTTTAATGAATCCTCTGAAATCCATTAAGAGAAACGTGTGAAGTGATGCCTGCCCTTGTTTTTAAGAGGTAATTTCTGAGTATCATTCTTGGCTGTCACCTGACTTCCCCTGGCTGCCGGTGCCATCCCAGCTCTGATTGTCAGTCTTTAGTAGGTGACCTGTTTTCTCTGCTGCTTTTATAAGTCATGTCGTTGTTTTAGTGCTCCTTAGCTTATATATAAACGTGCTTAGGCGTGGACTTAATCGTATTTATTTTATTTGGGGTTTGGTGGGGGATCCTCAGCCTGAAGATTACTTTCTTTCACCAATTTTGGAAAATGCAAACCTATTAACTCTGAAAATTTCCTCTCTTACTCTTAAGTACTGAGAATAAACTGAGGATTTCTGGGGGTGGAGGAGAGGGGAAAGGGAGTGATGAGCATGGGGCAGGGTACTTGTTGGGATGAGCACTGGGTGTTATATGGAAACCAACTTGACAATAAACTGTATTAAAAATATAAAAAAAAAAGAAATTTTCCTCTCTTCCACTTTTTCTGTTCTATTTCTCCAGTACTTTAATGAGATGCATGTTAGTCCTTCTAAGCCTGTCACCCATTATTCTTGATGTACCTTTCCTATTTTACCTCTTTTAGTCTAGTTACTCTGTGCTCAAGTGAGAGTAATTTCAGATATACAGTCACATTTATCAATTCTCTTCAGCAGCACTTAACATTCTGGTTTCTATTTTTAAAAGAGCATCCAAGCTGTTATTTGGAGAATGACTGGGAGGGATTAAAAGTAGAAGTAAGATAACTGACAGGCCTAGTCCAGGTGGGAAATAATGGTGGCCTCTATCAGACAGTAGCAGTGGCAGCTGAGAGCAGTGACTAGATTCAGGATGTATTTTGGAAGCAGAAGAAACAGGACCCATTGAGTGATTGGACGGGGGGTTTGGATGGTGCTGCTGGTGGTACTGGTGAAGTGAAAAGCAGAAATCAAGGATAACTCATTGGGGTTGGTACTTGAGCAACTAGTAAATGGCAGTGGTTTTTGCTGTTGATAAGATTGGAACGCCAGGGGACGAACGGTTTGCATGGGAAGCGTTGTCAGTGGATAGGGCCATCCTGGGTGTGCTGAGTGGAAGATGCATTTCAGGGGTCCAGGTAGGGAAATGCTGTTGGCAGCTGGAGGTCATGTGTTCTGTGTCTCCAGTTGAAGGGTCAGCATTCTCTCTAATACCCAAATAACAATTGCCTATGACAATTTGCTTGACCACACATTTTATATTTCCTCCCTGAAATTTCTGGGGCTCCTTAAAGATCTGCTAATTCCATGGATCCATCCTGGTTTCTGCCTTTCACCTCCCCTAGGCATTCTGTCCCATCTCTGCTCAACTCTGTGACACCATATGACATCTCTGCCTGAGGCTGGACATGTTTAAGGGAGCTGATACAAATTGTCAAATAGCTCTTCCCACACATTGTGCCACTTATATTCCCATCAACAGAGAAGGCGTGTCCATTTCCCCACATTCTCACTAACACCATAGATTATATATGTTTTAAAGTTTATTCATTTTATTTTGAGAGAGAGAGCGAGCGAGAGAGCAAGCACATGAGTGGGGAGGGGCAGAGAGAGAGAAAACAAGAGAGAATCTCAAGTAGACTCTCCACTGTCAGCACGGAACCAGATGTGGGACTCAATTCCATACACTGTGAGATCATGACCTGAGCTGAAATCAAGAGACAGATGCTTCACTGAGTGAGCCACCCAGGCACCCCACACTTGCCAATTTAATAGATGATAAAGGGTGACACATTTCAATTTGTATTGCAAACATATGCTTTTAAACAATAAAATATGTCTATAAATTTCAGTGCTCCAGATCATTCAAGCACTCATAATCACGCATAATTATGCAGGAATTTTAGGGTGCAGATAACAGTGCTGGCTAAGAAGTCCCATTCCATACCAGGCTCTGCAGTTGTGGTACCTCTTTTAACCCCCATGGCATCCTGATGTGGTGTTATTATTGTCCCTCATTTTCTACATGGGGAAAACTGAGGTCAAGGGTATAAGTAACTTGTCCCAGTGGCAGAGCTTGGAGTGACATCCTAGGTCAGTGGGAATGCACAGCCCGAGCTCCTAAGCCTTGCCCTCCTCTCTTCTTCTGCCCTAGAAGGGATGCTGGACCAGAACCCCTCCTTGCCTGGGACAACAGCATTAATTGAATTCCTTCTGGAAATTCTTTTCATCTCTTAGCCACCCATTCTCACTTTCCTGCTTTTTTCTCCCAGATTTCTAGATCCTTTTTAGGGTTGACATGTGGTCAGTATAATCTTCGGTGACCCTCCCGCAGCAAAGACATTCAGGTCATCTGTGGGCAGGGTAACAAAAGCCATGAAACTTCCTGCAGGTTTAGGGGTGGAGAGGGAACTCCCTGCTGGGGGCCCATTTCCTCTGCACTTCTTTCCTGTCATACAGCAATGGGGGTAAGTTTTATTTTTTCCTGATAGTAATAATGAGATAATATATATTTAGGAATACAATGTGCTTGTGTCCTGTTGTAAGCACTGCCGTTGCCTCAACTACCTAATGGAGTACTTACCATTGTAAGTGTTGTACATGCTTATTACATAAAGTTTGAATAATAGAGCACCTAAGGACTGCCACTGCTAAGATCGTGCTGTATTCCCTGCTTATATTTTTCCTTAATTATTTTATATTTTAATGGGCATCACATCCCATGTGCAATTGTTATACATGTTCAACTATACACTTTTGAGAGAAAAGAGAGGAGGAAATGAAAGAATTCTAGTGAATGTACTAGAGTGAGCATGAGGTGAGAACAGCAGGGGATTCTGCTGTTCCTTCCTTAGACCTCAGCCCCTGGGGCCTCTCATCGTGTGACTGCCTCACCACACAGGCTGTGGGTCTAGGCTTAAAGAGATGTGTTGGGGTTCAGCATGGCACCTTATTAGAACCACCTGCTTCAGCTGATGGTCACACCAGGAGTCAAAGATCCATTGAGCATTTTGGGAAACACTGGCTGATGGAACTTACCGAGAAATGTGCATCTCCCATGTGGTATCATGCTAAGGGGTTTCAAAGGTATTTCAACTTTCGACATTTCTACGTGGAGTACTAACCTGACAAGCTAACCCCTATGCAAGATGCCACTTTTTGGAGCTGAGTCACTCTATACTTTGAGGTTTAAATCAAAGTGACTTAAGCTCTTTGTCCTGTTTTCTTTAAACTTTATCCTATTTGCTGGGATGTCTAGTGTCCTCCCCTATATTTCTGCCCTCTCTGAAGCTGGTGTTGTGGTTGGTGCTAGCTCCGGGTTTCTGCCTATGAGGATCTCGGGATTCACTTCTCCCATGAAGGGACCACACACTGGCCTCCTCCCTGCAGGGAGCCTGGCATGGGATTTGACGTCTACTTTTTGCTTTTACCAGGCCCTTCTCCTGAGGAGTGTGTGCTTCATAGACTTAAATCAAGGTGTGCAGATCTGGGAGGGATTTTTAAAATTCCTAATTCTAATTAAATTCCTAATAATACCAGCAAATTCCTTTCACAATTTCTGAGCCATGAACCAGCAGAGTACCTGATGCCATTGAGGCCTGGAGAAGGAGGCAGGAGATTGGGTCTGTGTCAGGTGTGACAGGATGCGTCTGTTCCCCATGGATGGAGGGAACACCCTGGGAAGCAGGACTAGGCTTGCTCTGCCATTATCCCTAAGTGGGTTTTGAATGGATGAGACGATCCTAGTAAAAGGGGAGTGTCGGGTGGACTGTCTCTGGTTGGGGAGAGAAAGGAGGGAAGGAGCTAGAGCCCAAGCTGGTGCTACATATGAGCACCTATGTAGGGGGTGGCTTACACATGTAAGGGGTGGCCCCACAACACTCCACAATGAAACCAATGCATGTGCCCCATGAGAGGCAGCCTCACAGATAGAGCCAAAGGCCGGCCCATGTCATCCAGGGAAACAGCAATCAGTGTAATAAAGAGGATCAGTCCTTCACCAGGAGTAGCTAAGTAAGGAGACATCTCTGCCTTCCATCCTTCTGTCCTGCTTCAATACCAGAGGACATGTGTGGAAGAGATGGGGTGATGACAACAGACCCTACTCCCCTCCCTGCCAAGCTCCTTAGAGACACAGGTCCAGTGTTTGTGTATGTGTTTGGGGTTGGGGGCAGGGGGCGGTGGGAAGAAGAGAGTCACTGCTTGAAAATAAGTTCAAAATGTGAAGGAATAACCCCTAAAAACTAGAAATAAATGGTATTGGACTAAAATGATGTTAAGCATTGCTAAAGAGCACACGGTGGCACTTTTGTGTTTGAAACTATGTTCCTTAATAAACTAGATTCCATCACAGTTATGAGGTATTGGCCTTTTAAAGATTCAAATTTCATAGCCAGTATGCCTTTCCCCAGCTGCCTATATCTGCCCACCTCACATGACAACTTTTTTTCAGGCCTGGAGGGTGCAGTTTCAATACATTGGCCATCAAAGGTGATGATCCAGGGGAGAGAGGAGGATGTCCCCAGAAAACCTTGCAGCCTCAGTAATTTGTATGCAAGTGAACAAGAGAGTGTGACTGTCCCCACTTACCTCTGAGGGTCGGAAAGGGTTCTGTTCAGGTTGGGTGTGTAAGAATATCAGGCCTTTTTTACCCGCATTTACTGCCAAATCCTTCCCTTCTGAGTCTGAGTCATTGTTCCAGCCACCTGCTCCTCGCGGCCACTGGGGAGTCCTAAAATCATGGAGTCTAGGATGTCACCCTCACTCCCCTCGCTTAAGGCATAGCTGTGTCTGTAGAGCAGAACGAAGTAGGGAAAGAAAATAATATTGAGGGTTGAGAGGGAGGAGGGACTCAGAAAGATGGGCTATTTGGAAACAAAAACTGCCTTGGATTCTG